CACGTGTGTGTCATGTGTGATCAGATAATTCAAAGAAAACAAGCAACAAAATACACATTTTACGTAGTTTCTTCTTGGTTTTAAATATCATTTTACATCAATGAAAAAAAATTCATAGATATATATTAAAAAAAAATATATTCAGAGATCGATTTTCGGAGCATGAAAATCCTTTTTTTTCCAGATTTTTTGGGTGCGCAAAATATTCGAGTAGAAGCTTTTTTCCCGATTTTCAGCCTCAAAAAGTACCTGCGCAAATTACACAGGTGCGCAAATTACATGGGTTTTTACGGTACCTATTTCAAACTTAAAATCAAGTTCTAATAGGCTGATCTCACTGAAAATCGGTCTAGGAATGATCAGCTCATGGTCCTGACAAAGTTAAGTTTACATTATACTTAACTATTTTTTACTCAAATTGGTACATATTTCAACAACAAAAATAAATACTGTAGGACTCAGGTGATCGTTAAGGCCCATGGGCCTCTTGTTTCAAGTGTAAGGCATATTGTTATCATTAAAAAAAAGTTAATAACCCTATGTCAGTTTGATAACTGATAAGCTGAGATACTTATAACCTTGTGAAAAGCAAAGGGCAAAATGATCTCTGAAAATTTTCATTGATACAGCTTGTTATATTGTGCTTACATTTTGCATATCTTTTGATTTTATTTGTATTGGAAAAATTTGTGCCACAAAAATAAAGCAATACCATTGCCATTTTGATACAGGACTATTGACTGTTAAAGGTGTACCGTATAGGAAGTTAGGTTGGACTTGATAGAGTATTGATGTTGTTGATTGAGTTAGTTTACGTTAATGGCGTTATCCCTGTGATGGCTCGCCTCATATCCTGCAATGTATGGATGGTGACAAACGTTTTGATTTGAGTGAATAAGTGTTTAACCAATGTTGACTCTGAAATCTTATGTTTAGAATCTGGTTGTGCAAGTGACTTTTTACTTTCTTCAGTGTGTTGAAGCCCCTCATGTAGAAAACCCTGGATAAGTAGTC